GAACCTGTATTTTCCACACAAGCACCCAGGCTCAAAATATCTGGATAATGGATTTCTCACTTTCACTCTCTCTAAACCAGGGGTGGGCAAACTTGGCCCTTCCAGGCCACTTTCCTTCAGAGTTTAGCTCCAACCCTAATCAAACACACCTGAACCAGCTAATCATTGTCTTCAAGACTACTAGAAGGCTACAGGCAGGTGAGTTTTATCAGGGGTTTGATCAAAGCTCTGCAGGAAAGTGGCCTGGAAGGGCCAAGTTTGCCCATCACTGCTCTAAGCTATGGCTCAAACAAATATTGTCACTTTCAGCTCAAACTGAACTTATGCTGCCTTCTTGACTGTCAATGAAATGACTACAGCCCATTTCCTCTCCTCCCACCTGTTGGCTTTAGCTGTATCCAGCCCTGCCTATCCATCAATCAGTGCTCGTAGCTCCTTGCACATGCTCACTATAAAGCTCATTTTATGGATCATGGATCTTCACTTGCCCCTACACACAGGACTCTAACAGGAGAGAAGACAGTGAGATTGGGTAAGGTTACCTGAGCCTGGAAGAATTGTGTGTGTTCCCCTTGAGGGATTGTGAAAAGAAAGACAGGTGGAGACCCACCCAGACCCTGCGGCTACATGCATTACCACCTTCAGAGCCAAGAAAAAAATTATTAGCAGTTTGTTTGTCAATCCATTCCATTTCCTGTATATTCCAGTCCAGACTTAAGAGTGTACTTGCTCAAAAGTCAGTAGTGGACTCTGGTAGAGGGGATATATTCATATATCACAGGGGTGGCGAACGTCGGTCCTGGAGAGCCACAGCCCTGCAGAGTTTTGCTTCAACCCTAATCAAACACACCTGAACAAGCTAATCAAGGCCTGAAGGGTTACTAGGAAGCTTCAGGCAGGTGAGTTTTTATTAGGGTTAGAGCTGAACTCTGCAGGACTGCGGCTCTCCAGGACCGGAGTTCGCCACCCCTGATATATCATGTCTAAAGCACCAGAATCACAGCCAGATTTTAGGGTTCACCAACCCCTGACTCAACTCTTAAATTGTGACCAAAGCTGCATATGTTTTTTATGTCTTATTGTGGAAATCAAATAAACATCCCCCCCAGTGGTTCTCTCTGCCATATGAAATGTTGGAAAGATCATTCTAGTAAATCAGTTTGTTTAGTTGATTAATGGAAATGAATCGATTTAAGAAACCAAGTCAGTCTTGTATTAGTAAAATAAGCTGTTAAATGCTTGTTTGTTAATGTGTTTTATTCCAGTTAAATGTTTAATTCATTCAAGTAATCATTAATTCAACAACCTTTTTTTGTGCCAGACTCTTAACTTATAAACAATTTAATTAAAAGGTATGAAAAAAAAAATTAAAAAGTCATCCTTTACTAGCTTTAATATAAACCACATTTCACATGATCCTTCAGAAGTGATTCTAATATGCTGATTTGATGCTCAAGAAACATGTCTTATTATTATCAATAATGAAAACCGTTGTGCTGCTTCATATTTTTGTGAAACTGCAATTTTTTCAGGATGCTTTGATGAATAGAAAGTTTAAAAAGAAGAGCATTTAGCAAAAAAAAAAAAATCTCACTAACCCCAAACCTTTGAACATAATTAGCTACTTTTAGTTTGTAGTTTGCCGTGTAGCAACTTTTACAAAAGAGTACCTTGACTGTAGTTGAACTTTGTTCAAATTAGGAGTAACTTGCAAGCTACATTATCAAAGCAGCTTCAACACTCAAGTCAATGTATGAGGCTCAGTGTGTTTGTAAGCCTCTTAGTTTACAGGCCTCGAGGTAATCTTCAACTTCACAAAGACCTTGGAAATGAGAGGATGGGAGGTAAAGTAATGTGCAGCCTGTGGATGAATGACTCTTACTGGGTCACCGCAGACAAATTGACTTGTTTAATGACATAGCCAACAAATGCAGGGCCTTTTACAACCCTGTAGGGCCACTGACCTGACCAGTGCTTGTACGCTGCAAATAATGCACCAAGGCTAGAGGAGTCAGTGCTATTCACTCTTTCTTCTCCAAAGAGATGGAGGGGGAGGGGTTTGGACAAAGACAGATTTAGGAGGAAGAGAGAGGGGCTGGGGGACTGTGGACAGGCGTTTAAGGCCGATGCACAGGAGGCTCCTGGGATACGTGACAGACCCTGTGATTAGAATAAATAGAATTATTATAGAATAAAATGCAGGCAATCTTGAGGTTAGTAGCAGGAGGTGGGAAGAGGGTTAAGTGGCAGGCTTTTACATGGTTTAAACAGCAAGCTTGATTTACCCTGCGCTGTGTGGCAAGCTATCATTTGCAAATCACACCACGTCTCCAGGGCCTGCTAAGATGAGCCATGGGTTTTGTCGTGGATGTTTGTTGTGGCCTTTTGTGTGGGGGCTTCAGACAAATTAAAAAAAAGACTCAAAGTAATGCAACATGGCTCTTCTTGCATGCCTCCTTGCCATGCATGACACAAGCATGTTAGTGTGTATCATGGTTCCCATGTAATGGCATGATTTGGGGTGTAAACACGTCATGAACCCTTCACAGCTATTGCATGTGAGATGGAAGAACCGGTCAAAGAAACTGTAGGGATTCACCGATATTACAATTCTGGTTATTCAGATAAGCCGATTTTCATATTGGGGCCAATGACTAATAATTGGCAGATACAAATTATATTATAACTATATTAAGTATGAAATATTATGTATGTAATACGTAGTGGTATTAACTCTCTGGTGCTGATCGTTTATTTTTGACCAAAAAAAGCTACAATATGTTTTTTGTTTTTGTTAATTTTTGGAGAGATCAACCTCAAATTTGGAACACAGATTGTTTAGATGTATAGATTTGATATGCATGCAGGTTTGGAGTAAAACATGTTTTGTAAGTAAATAAATAAATAAATAAATAAATATGATCAAACTAAAATATAGTACATTAATTTAATTGACAAAAAAGATTTTAAAATAAATAAATAAATAAAACTGTCACGCAAGCAGCACCAAAGGGTTAACTATGAAATAAAAGCATGAATATTAGATATTCATTCAGAGATTAACAAGTTAAAGATGAAAGGTAACCAAAATGTATAAACGGGGGAAATGAGCATGCACAATTAAATATCCAATATTGGTCGTAGTGCTTAGTCTTGTAAGCAGCATTTTGACAAGCAGTACTATTGTGCTTCAGGTGACCAGAGTTCAAGTCCCACCTTTTGTTCCTTTCCAATCCTGTCTCCTTCTCTCTCCCACTTTGCTTCCTGTCCACTTCACATGCTGTCCTTTGCTTTTTCGTGGTTCAGGTGACTTAAAACATAATTGAGAACTCCTTTAAGTATCGTCTCAGATGTTTCTTGATTAGGGTTGTAGCTAAACTCTGCAGGACAGTGCAGGAGCAGGGTTGAAGCCCTCTGTGAAGAAGCTCTTTTAGAGTCAGCATGAAACAGAAAATCACAATTACATGTTCTCACCTATTGTGGCATACATCGGAGTGAAACAGCTTCTCGAACAAGACAAAATGTTGGGGGGGACTTGATTTTGTCCATTGGGGTAGATAAATCATTTAGGTAAAAAATGCAATATCCCATTAAAATAAGAAGTGTCAATTTTGATTTCATGGTGACTTTAAACAAAACTCTCCAGTGATATTGTGATATAAAAGAGATTGAACTTGACCTTTGTTCTTACAGCGTCTCTCTGCAAAACTGTGCGGTCAAAGTGCATGAAATCCCCATCACCTTTAAAAGGCGAGACATGATTCATACTGTTTGTGCTACTGTCACATACTAGCATGAGTGAGGAAGTCACTCGCCCCTCATGTCATTCCAAATCTGTATGACTTTCTGTCTTCTGTGGATCACAAAAGAAGATATTTTGAAGAATGTTGAAAACCACACAGCTTTGAGGACCATTAAAAGAAAAACACCAAGACAATTCTCAAAATATGTTATTTTATTTTCCAAAAAGAAAGTCATACAGGTTTGGAATGACACCCCTCTCAAAATCATCAAAGACCCGTGTGATTGAGAAGATTCCCCATCATGTCACAAGCTCGTTAGTGTTTGTGTACAGCTTGAGTACATACTGTTTGAAGAACTCCTTTGGTAGCAGTGCCTTAAATTACTCTTAAGACCACACCAAGTTTCTGCATGGCAGGCGCTGCGGGTTAGAATGAACACTTCTTAAAATACCGAGAAAACCTCTGGTGTCAAGACAGGAAGTGCCACAAACAGTAGTCGTCATGTTTAAATAGAGCAGAAGAGTAGGCTGAGATAGTGGCCTTAATTCACTAGGAGTTCTTTGCCCTGTTATAAATAACCTCTCTCTATTTCATTCCCATTGTTAGAGGATGAATTACCCACAATGAGTATGCAGTCATAACACTTACCAGCAGGCAATTATTCTTTCCAGTTTTGTCCACTTCACCTTTGCTTGTGGGATTTGCTATATTCAGAACTATGTTCCAGCCAATTAGACACATATAAAGAGGTTTTTTTACAGTTACAGTCACAACCCATCTATTTTTACACCATGAACACTGCACCTTAGTTCTAAAAGAGAGTATTGATGTTGAGATAAAACTTCAAACTAATGTGTTATAAGCTAAATCTTTATCGCGAATACTGCTCGCACATAGGCTTAGGGATTTGTGCGATTCCTTCGCTTTTTCAACAACTCAATCTATAGATCTAGTTATTAAGTTGAAAGCTTTGAAACGGAAATGTTTTTTCTTTTTTTACTGCAAAAAATACATACTTTTTACTATGTCAATTCATGAGGGTTAACAGCAGAGGAAAATGCCCACGAGAGGAAGTCTTTATAACCAGGGTGAATGACATTAGTTTGATGACCCTCATGGTTTGAGCCAGAGCACCACCATCTTCAAAGTGTTCGCATTTCCTTGCGATTTTATTTCAAGTCCCTTATCACATAAGTTTAAGCCTTACAGACTTGGCCCAAGGAGGAAGAAGAAACATTTGCACAAGCATATGAGACCCAGGAAAAGGCTGCACTTCAAACAATGGGACTTCATCATCATGTTATCTGTAATCGTTTCAGGCTGCCCCTCTGGTTTAATCGCTTCCAGAGAGACAAAGACACAAAGAAAGTTACGTTAGTAAAGATTCATTGTAAGACCCTCACAAATCCCATGAATCCAGATGAGATCATGGGACTTAAGATTTTCATTAAGAAACACAACGGAGAAGTAGTGAATTGTCAACAAGCATTGATGATTTATCATCATCACAGCTTCATAATGCTTTAGACTTCCCTTGTTATGTTGTATCAATAGATCTGTAGAGTGCCAATTGTTCTCATAAAAATTTGTGTGTGGCCAGAAAACAATGAACCGGCTGAGTGGCTTGAACAAACTACTCTCAGAAGAAACGTTTGGTCTGCATGTCACAGATAAATGAATACATTAGTCAGGGCTGGACAGGATGTGTGTGTGCGCGCGCACTCACTCTATGTGGTAGAGTTAATCTCTGGGCAGCAGCTATGTTGGGTGGAGATTTGGGATGAAACTGGCTAACACCCGTCCAGCCACACCGGATACCACTAACACTCACACATCACTATAAACACAAGCATAATTCATAATCACAAACACTGGAACACAACATCTCAGCATCTACAACATTAGCTAAATTTGAGGTGCATTTGCACAGACGACGATTAAAGACCCATGAAATCGCTTGACAAACCATTTTCTTCATGTTTAAATTTTCTATTAAATTAGCTCAAACTTCAGAGCAAATTAATGACTTTAGGTCACTTTTACGCTGCAATTGGCAATGTGAATGCCACTCATTACATGCAAAACAATCATTTTCCACATTTTCACATACATTCATACTGTAGGAGTGGGCAAAAATATTGATTTTCCCACTGATCATGATCTTCTTTTGAACAATATGAATTCTTAAAATCCCAAGATCAGTTTTTTGCCCATTACTTGCAGCATAAATTGAACGTGATGAGATAAAAGAGGTGTGCACCGCAAAATAATATAAATATTTTTATTAAGTTATCTTCACAGGCTGTGCACAATAACATGACCAGCATAGTCCAATACACAAACAAATGACTCTTTTGAGCTGGTCAGGTACTGAATCAATATCAAATATGCTATTTTTTAAATATTAATATTTGTATCTAAATGTACCATATTTGAAGGTTCCCTGTTTAATGTACAGCAGTGAGAAATAGGAGAAATGATTTCCTTCATTTAAGCGAAAAGCGGACCTTTTAACATAAATATGCACGTTTATTTAAATTATTAACAATCAAATCAAAATAAAATTTGAAATTAAACTGAATCAAGCTTGTGCATTTGGAATCAAATCAAATCAGGAAATTTGTACGGATACCCATCCCTACATGCAAACGGCCTTGGTTTTTACATTTTTCCCATCCCATGCATTCGTCCAAGCAAAGTTAAGGAACATGCATTATTAAAAGCATCACTTCACCTAAGAGACTGAACTCTAGGTGACACTGTGAGAAAATGTACCAAACCCTGATTTCCTATTCAAGCTCACTACACTTCAGAGGTATGACAGCATGAATCAACACCGAGGTTTCTCAGGCTTAGGTGTAGCAGCCACAGGTCAACAAAGATGCAAACTCTGTCTGTCATTACTGCAGTTCATAGACAAACTGCTGAGTCAGCGGTGACACATCTCACATCACTATAAAGGCTGTGGATTGGAAAGGTCTGGCATCACTGTCAGACTTCGAGAGAACATTGACAGCATTATGATTCAGAACATTCATGATTGTTGCTGCTTCAATCCAAGCCTCTTGCAGACCACTGACGCTCTACCACCCAACGAACATCAGCAAAAACTGCCAACTCACATTCGCCCCAAGAAGCAGATGGGCAGTGTTAGATAATCTGACTCATCAGGACGCATGAGTTTTGGAGTTCACCCGCCAAAATCTGACATGTCAGACTGAAAGACAGAAAGTTATTCAACCAAGCAAACCAATGAGGCCGCACACACACATATACAAACAACTTGTCTTTTATCTCTCTCTCACACACACACTTACTCTCGCAGATGTTACTGCCTGACCTCCTACACAATCAAGCAGGGAGTAGAATAGTAAAAGTGATGATTCCTCTGAAATGTGCTGAGATGCACGCCAAACAGAAAACTCTGGACACTGTGAGAAAGTGTTTAACCTTCTGCGAGCTTGATATCATAAGAGAACCAGCCGTCTAAATGCATCTTCATGCCACTAATTTCACACTCATGGACAGTTCCTGCAGCATCTAATGCAGTGTTTCCCAGCCCTGTTCCTGGACTCTTCCAAATCAAACATACCTGAATCAATTCATCAGCTCATTAATAGAGAATCCAAAATCTGAAAAGGACTGGTCAGAGAAGGGAGACATCCATAATGTGTACTGCTGGGGTGCCAACTGGAACAGGGTTGGGAAACACTGGTCTAATCTATATGGTTCACTTAAATGACAAGGTAGATGTGCAAGTTTTGGCAATCAAGGTGTACAGCAGGGGTGTCTGAAGATCTACCTACCTGCCAAGTTCAGTTTCAACCCTGATCAAACAAGTTTTTCCTGAAGCTCTAAATCAGCTAAACTTTGCGGGACGGTAGATGTCCAGGAACGGGATTGGGCACCCCTGGTGTACAGGTTATCATCAGCCCACCAGGAAAAAACTTGGCTTACAAGCTCTCAGGCCACAGTGAGGGATTCTAGAACTATTATAGGGCCGTTTTCACCTGGCATGAATATGCGTTTTCAGTGGTCCAATCACAAGTCTGCTGAGATGGATTACCATTTACACCTGGTATTAGCATGAGTTTCAAATGCTTCTCCTTTTGTCAAGATACTCCCGTCAGACTCTGCATCACTTTCACGGAAGCACCCAATGCGGCACACAAGTATTACTGAATGAGCAGACCCGTGTCACACTACTTATGAACTAACGGGAAAGGAAAAAGATCTTTGAAAAAGATCAAGACGGCAGCTGAGATTTCAACTGTAATCCATGTGTTTTGGTAAAATGCAGAGAAGTGTGAATCACTTGTTTTGGTTTGCTTTGTCACAGCAGTTATGTGTTGTGCGATGTGGTCACGTGTTTCTGACTACCTCCATTTCAGTGATTTGATCATAAAATGTTTTAAACCCCATTTTCACCTGTATTTAGTGCTTTTGTGATCCATTCACAAAAGAACACACGTTAATGGCAGATGTGAACTATTAAACTTATATAATGCTGAATATAATGCATGATAATGCAATGGAGGAACTGCAAATTGTTGGTCATGATAATGCCAAGCGATTATGAGTAAAAAAAAAAAAGGGCCTACGTTATTTTACTAAATGTTATTAAACATGCTAGATACTAGATGTCATTAAATATGTATAATAAAAAAAAGAAAATTAACATACTAATTTTTTTTTAAATGCATGTAACACTGACAGAACATGTGTCTAACATAATTCTTTATTTCCAGCTGTGCAGAATCACGAATGTTTCTGTTCTAGTGTCACCACTGCCCTTTGTGACCAAAAGACCATGCAAATCCTATTCATATCCACCCATGATGTAATACCATTTTTTTATCTGTATATCATATGTATTAAAAGTAATTTAAAAACAAACAAACATTTTAACTATTCTTTACTTTGGCTTTGTTTAAAAAAAAATCGTGAGTATAAATGTGAAATCAGTGTCAAACCACATTGTGACATGAGTATCATTACACCCCTAAAATATGAGCATGTGAGAATATGAGTAAATTAATGACTAAGCAATTGAATAAATGAGCAGGGAAGAGAGTGAATAAATGAGTGTGTGATAAAGAATGTAATTGAAGGAATGAATGAATAAGTGAGAGTGATCAAGCAAGCGCGTGTGCTGGTGAATGTGTGTGACTGCGTGTGGAGCAGAATATTGATTCGATTGAGGAGGTGGGAGCTTTGTCATGAACGAGTCATTCTGCGCACCACACACTGTAGTGGGCAGAGCTTACACAGACCCATCACAGCATACTGAGGGCATGTGACTCAACCCTCTTACAGAGCCTATCATCCTGCACTGGCCCATTCCCACAAACTTTATTCAGAAATTAATTGACTCATGCTCAGTCAATGCCTTCCTCTCCCAGGCTGAAAAACCTCCACAGATGTCGGCCTACAGGATGATACATCCATCATACGGTCACTAATTACATACTCAAGTACTAGCAAGTTCTCAGTGGACACCTGCAGCACCAATGTGTAGAAAACACAAGCACTGTGTTTCTACAGTGGTTTCCTTCCCTTCTACTCTCATCACCTCATTATGAGGCAGACCTGTGTTTGGCCATTAACACTGGAGTGTGTTAAAGGCAGCTTGGAGATTAGCGTTTCCTCTCACCTCCCTTTGTATCAAACTTAAGAGCAGTCGCTCCCTGCTGGAGAGCTCACCATCGAACCCGCTGACACAAACCCCACCAAAAGCCTGTAAACTATTCATGAGCACTCCATTTTTCATGGGCAGAGATGGATGTTTCATGTAGGGCAGGATGGGATCGAAAAGGAGAGAGAGAGGGAGATAGAAGTGAATAGCTGAGCAAGAGAAAGGAAAGAAATGAGCTTTGAATATTCAAGTGGCACTAATAAAGTTATGTCGAAATAATTGCATCTGAGAGATGAACGTTCAAGAACCCAGTGGGCAAACTGGATTTTTCTTTGTGCCTGGACTTATTAAATAATCATTGTAAAAGCTAATTGTTAATTAAGAAAAAAAAAATAATAATTTACTCAGTTTATCATTCTTAATCTTGCATTGTGAACGTTTTATTAGGTAACACGAAAGTAAAAATTCAGAAAAAATCTTTAGGCACATTATTATCATAATTTCAAAATAAATAAATGCATAAGTCACATATGTAACTCTTCTAAGTAGCTGATTGGTTCACTCAAGCTGGCAGCACAGCCAATTGATTTCTCTTTCCTATCTACGCAACCTTATTTACTCCCAGCCTGGTCCAGCTCATTGCTGTGTGTCATAAAAGTTTTCTTTAGCCCTCCTCCTCCCCAGAACCACCTGTCTAATTCTTTACCTTGCAACAAAAGCATATCTGTAATTCGGAGTCTGCCAACCTCGTAATTTTGAGTTCATGCCAGCAGCAGCGCAGCAGATCTAGTCCACCAAGATCAATCCTACCTACACTCCATTTTTATCAATAAATCTTATCTTATTAAAGTTGTCTATTGCAAAGAACCCCAGCCCTGCTCCTGGAGACCCACTGTCCTTCAATATTGATTTCCAACCTGCTTAAACACACCTGCCAATTCATTTTAAGTGATCCTGAAGACCTTGATTAGCTGGTTGAAGTGGGTTTGATTAGGTTTGGAGCTAAACTCTGCAGGGCAAGGGCCTTGAACTTAGCCTAGTTGCGATGTTGAGGGGCACTAAGTTACAACTTAAGTAAAAAGTTAATAGAAATTTGTATACTTTTTTTATTGTACCATTCAACTTTAAAATGCACCTCTATAAACTAAATGAAGAGCTTGGTTCGAAAACGCGATAAATGCCATTTAAAAAAAAATTGAGTT